TTTTGGAGAGCAAGGAACTGTGCTACTGAGGTTTTTATAAATCACAAGACCATGTTAGTGTCTAAATTGAATCATCGCAATGGCTCACCATCCTCTTGGCAACAAATTCAAGCAAATTCTTGCCACTGAAGACCTGTAGAAACTAATTCTCTTCTACATATCTGATATTTTCTTGCCAACTCATCCTTTGCTYATTCTGCTAACAGTGTTAGCAAACACTCTATTACATTTTCTGATGAGATATCCTAATCTCTTTTACATGATGCTTCCAAAATAAATACCATTTTCCATAATTTTAAGAATCAAAGGTCAGCCTTCACCTTAAGTCCACAATTCTCTAGAGATCTTCAAAATCCACCTGGATGTGACCCCGGGCCACATGCATTATGTGTTCATGCTTTAACAGGGGGGTTGGACTAACTGATCTGTAGAGGTCCATTCYAACTTCATTCATTCTGTGATTCTGTGTAATTYGCTCAAAGTAGCTAGGATACTGCTGGTCCAGCCTCAGTTTTCGTCTCTACCTGCAGCAATCCTCTCCACCTAAGCAGCACAGCTGCACCTTTTCTTTGCATTTCTCCAGAGACAGAATCAGACATACTGAGTCATTGTGTCTGGAAAGTTTTTCTAAACACAAGAATGGAGAACCRCAGGAACAGAGTACCATGGGGAAGTAAGGATATTTTCAGGCTCTTTGAGGGTTCTGAGCTACAAATGGCTGTAGTAATTTAAAATTTCACTTCCTCCTTCTTCCGTCCTATCCCTTGCTTGGGAGCGCAGCTCCTCTTGTGTCACAAGTAGCAAAAACAGATGTGTGTACAAGATGAAATTGCTGCTGTTCAACATCCAGCATCAATAAAAATCTGCCTTCATTAAGGTAGGATGTTGGATTATGAATTGTGGTGCCTGAAATGCCAAAACATGGCTGCTTTTTCTGGTTATTACTGAGTGTGGGGATATAAGAGCTATATTGTGTGTTGTATCTGGACAGGTCCTTAGAAGGGCAYAGAAAACAACAACAAAATATCAAGAATGGGTTAGCTGGGATTGGTTTAGGAAAAGAGATGGGCTATCTCTCTTCAGGAAGCCTCGTTCAACCTGACTCTGTTATGATACTCAATTATGAAACACTGCACTAAATGCAGATTTGTAAGATCTAACTGTTCTTGCTTGATGCATATTTTATTTGCCTCAATGCAAGACCTGCAAAGAGTAGTACAAGTAATTTTCATGCTATTTTCAGATAGCTCTGTGTTCAATCATTTTGTGTAGATACAAAGTGAAATGATGTACAAAAGGAAATCAGCCACTTAGGTTCTTATAGGTTATTGCAGCTTTCGTGTAAGGTGCAACACTGATTATTCTGTGTCGATTATCATTTATCATCAAACATTTTCTGCTTCAGTACTCACATTTTCATCTCAATTTTATTCCTTGGGATCATCTGGGATAAATAGATTTTATTTTGCATTCCCAGAAACCCTTTTGGAACTGTCTCATTTTGAAAGAGAAACAAGTATATTTTTAATGTACATGTGTTCAGCATTACCCTTTTTAATCATAGATTCTTTAGGCTAATAAAAAGTAGTAAAGAGAATACAAACAGCCCAGAGAAAAAACAGAACCCTTCTGAAATCACCAATTGGGAGTTATCCAGAGTGAATCGAACTTTGCATAATGCTGAGGCTGGATTTTGGGAAAACAGCATGAAAATGATTTTCCATATTTTCTCAGACAAATTTTATCCCTTTGCAATATTTATATTCCTTTTTTACCTTACTGTATTCAAACATTAGTCCTGGAACCTTAATTTTTTTTTAGTCTCTTCCAACCATAGGAGGTACTGCCATAATACAAATGAAAGATGTTCCACTTCCATAGCTTTTCTTTTCATTTCATTACCCTTTCTCTACTTTATTTAGATCTTTATCCTTGATCTATGGCCCAGATCTGCTTCAAAGCTTGTCTCTTGAACTAGTAAAGACTAGTTATTATTTCTACAAGTTCTTAGTGAACTTGTATTATTTGAAACTAAYGCAGAGTAAGGCCAGCCTACGGTCACTTGCTTCTACAAACAGTGTTGAAGAAGCAGCGTTTAATGGGGGTCACTAGCAGAAATTCCTAACAGCTTCCAAAATAAGAGAGTATATAATTTGTTTGGCAGAATGATTTCAAATAAATAGTAACTGAAGTTTTGAAAAGGTATACTGCTCTCTGCTTGATGTATTGAGAGCATATATGTCAAACGCTGAACGACTGTGAAGAAAAAGAACTGCAAGCATGATGTTGAGGATGGTGCTTTTCAACTTTAGAGGCATCAGTTAAATTCAGAATGACAGGGTCCTCAGATAAAGAGAAAACAGCATTCTGTGAAGAGCGGCCAGCAGTTTAAGGTCCAGTAATCAGGCTTTTATTTGGCCTGCCTTTTGGAGTTGCTTCTGTCACAGATAGTGATGCTGGCAAGCAAAATAAAGAGCTTTCACATCATAAGATGCATTCCTGTAGTAACTTCTCAAAGAGCCCAGTGGAATTTTTGTTTGCAAAATGTCTGTGAACATATATCTGACTAGGCACATTTGTCAAGCATGAACAATAATTTCAATTTGCACGTGGCTTACACTTCATTATTGTCAGAGCTGTCAGACTACGTTAAATACTCAGGTATGTTTCAGGAAAAAAATGAACAAGGAATTCATTTGAAAAGCCAAGAAACAACAGGGAGGAAAACAGCCTTTGTACCTTTTCAAGCTTCTGTCTGTTTATTCCAGAGTAATAGAAATTAAGCTTATTCACCATTCCCTGGACAAAGGGAATTCAATTGTATCTTAACTAGGCTACACAGGCAGCTTGAATCAGGTATGTTCTGATCTTTCCTTGAACTATGGAGTAAGATAGGAAATAAAATTTCAAAATTTGGGTATTTCAATCTTTCCTTATTCCCTAGGCTATTTTTTTTTTTTTTGAGGCCTGAACACTATTATACCATTTCTGTTGAGATTTCTATACTTTTGAAGCATGACTCTTCTATTTTTCTTGGTTAGCAAGAGGATTTTCCATGGATCAGTTTTCACAATTGTTTCCATACCCTGAAAATACAATTCATATTGCCATGAGATCTCCCTTTCTTCTAATGAAATCAGGTTTACTTTTCTTTTCTAAATATTCTCCTGTTCCTATATATTTTCTGGAGTCTCATTTGGGATATTTTTCCAGGACTTCTTTGCAGTCCATCAACATATTAAACTTAGCCTATTTAAGACATCTCCAAGTATGTGTTTCATCAGCCAAGGCAGAGATGAAAATTGACTTTGTTTTGTCTTTTTTCCTCACCTTAAAAGTATTTGTCTTTTCCTCATATTTCCAAATATCTTTTTTTTTCTTCTAGCATTATTTGTAAAGCACAACATAATGATCCACTTTTATACTGCTGTTTTTATGTCTCTTAAAAAAAAAAATCAAGCCTCTCTCTTTGAAGAATTTTTCTTTACTTGTTTAATTTTTCACTTAGCCTAAGGGCTCCTCAGAATAAGTTCCCTATCCTCCTGAATCATGATAAACTACATGTCAACCAACTACAGCAAGCTGTGCACCTTCATTACTGTCAAAGCTCCCCAGAGGATTTTGGCATCTGAGAAGAGCACCTTGGAGTTCATAGCATGAGCCATGCAGCGCACATTCACCTGCCAACATCTACATGCAGACTTCCTTTGCTGTCTACATAGAAAACAAAAGTTGATGGAATATGTCTCATTCTGAAGGACCCAAAAATATCTAGTATAAACTAAATGAATCATATCCCTGCAGTTCCTGTTTCTCATCACTGATTATAAAGATGAAGGTGATTAGATCAGTTGCAATTTTGCTTAAGTATATTTTTAAGCATGCACCTCTAACTGAACTATTTTACCTAGATACTTCTCTTGAACTGCTTTGAGGTTCAGATCTGCAGTTCACAGCCAGCACTTCTACTTGACATAGTATACCCACTGGTGTGAGTATTTTTACTTTCACTCCTGCAGAAACAAATCTAACATGGTCCAATACTGCTTCTTTTCAGAACATCAGAGATTCCATTATACGGCCTTTTGACAACCCTGAGTCTTGCATTACATAACTCTAATTACAGAGCTGACCTTTCTGTGCTGTGTGATGTCTATAACACTATGCAGGAGCTCAATAACTTCTTAATGTAGCAATAACTTCTCAATAACTTCTCTTCTATACCACACAGTAATGTCCTCTGAGAAATCCAAGGGGACAAGAGCAATGTTTTGTGTCCCACCTGGATAGACTCCTGTCAACAGAAAGAGCAAATTGCATTAATTTCTATTTCTCTAGGGGGCCTGGGAGGTCAGCATTTTTGGGAGTCAAGTTACTAGACTTTAAAAATCTGAATACCAACCCTGTTTCACATTCTACAACTTCATTGTTTGGTTTTGTAGTATATTTTTTTTCTATCCTAAAACCTTCACCAACTAGTTGTGATGTAATAAATAATTTTGAAAGTTTTTCTGTGTCATTTGCTTTCCCCAAGGTTGTACTGCCTGTTCAGAGGAAGCAATGATTTAAGAAATAAAACTTTTAATTTCATATACCTTTTTCAAACTATAGTAAGTAGCATGTTTATGATGGTGAATCAAGACTACGGGTATCCTGTATTGGTCATTTTGTTTCTTCACAATAAAATGCAGCCTTCTGTCCATCATGAGAATTTTTTTTCAAGCAATTTTCAGTTAAGGTGCTCTTTCATGAGCAAACATTTTACAAATTTTAAACAGTTTTATCAGGATGTGAAATCAATAGATCATTCGTTATTCTCTGATATGATAGTTTCTTTCTAATCTTCCATCGTGGAGAAATTAGTTTTTTATTTTACTTTAACTCTGCTTATTCACTTTATGTAAAAAATCAGTATCATTATCTTTTCTGGTATTTAACAAGAAAACTATAAACAATATTTACCATTCAGTATGGTCAAAAGGATTTGAATAGATTCTTACCTGTAATTCTGCTTTTCATTTCCTATATGAAATCTGTCATACTGTGAATATGCCCGGTTTCCTTCCCAGTCCATTAATTCAATTCTCAGAGAATATTGTCTCTGACTTGTTATTGCAAAGATAAATTCATTCCCCAACCAATGTTCACCTGATGGGCTTCCAAAACCCTAGAAAAAAGTTGGCAAAATAACTAGATGTAATTATTGTAAATGATAGAACATTTATGCAATAATAAAACCATCATTACATTTTACCTATACATTCTTATTGCTAGTCACATAGCTTTCTGTTSCTCACTCAGTTTGGGTTTCTCTAAAATAAGTCCAACAATTCTTAGCATGTAGGACTGTTATGGAGTTTAACTCATATTTGCAAGGGTAGTTGAGGTTATCAGTTGAAAGTCACTTTCCAGTCACAAGATATTAATAGTATGATGGATGGAATAAAGGATTTGTACATCCTTTAATGGCAATACTGGACATAGTCATCTACCATAACACACAGAATCACAGAATCATGGAATAGTTGAGGTTGGAAGGGACCTCATCTAGTTCAACCCCCCTGCTCAAGCAGGGTCACCTAGAGTACAAATACATTTAATATGATGCTAAATATATTTAGCATTGAGACTGACCTAAACTATAAAAGGTTATAAAAGCATTAAATTAGATATATACTGAATTCTAGTTAATTGCAGACTATAGATCATGCTTTACTACCTAACAAGGAATAKATCATTCCCTTTCATGTTTAGTATCTGCCACAACTCAGAGAGTTTTTTGATTTAAAATCCTCTTCTAATAAGACCTCCTGGACAGGATACTGTCTGCGAGTGATCCTCAGCTACAGCACTTGTTTTCCTAATTTGTGATGCAAATCGTCTACGGCTCAGAGTTTGGCTACTACAAAGCTCATGCTTTTCTCATCCAATGAGGTAGGGATATGGTACCTATAAGTGCCATATTGCTTCAAAATCTTTAACCTCTTTAAGTAATACTGCTATAGATTATCTAGAGAGCTGCACGTTTACTTTCTAAAAATTAAAAATAAACAATAATTTAAATTTTAAGGCAACTAGCTTTCTCATATTTAATATATTCAGAAGATATTTCTAATTAATTACATAATTTTCAAATAAGGAAAAATAATATTAAAAGTAATTAGTTTTCCAAATGCATTCCTAGACCCACTTTTTTGCAACTTCCAGTTTTAATATTAAGTTTTAGGGAATATTTTACTATATTAAATTTAAAACTTAAAAAATTGCAATTAATTTAATTTCACATATATCTAAACTACTGTTCATTGTAAGCGATTAGTTCATAGCTGCAAACTCCTAGTTTGATTATTTGCCAATTAAGCAATAAAACCTTTTCGAACCTCTAATTTCCAGAAAGTTTATCTTTATTAAAGCAGGGAGTATGAAGATTTTCTTGCTATCAGAATCTGTTGAAAACTTTAGCAAGAGATCAGTGTCTTCTGTATATTTCAGTATATTTCAAGRATTCAGTATATTTCAGGAACCATGAAAGCTCAGCCCTTTCAGCCCTTCCTCTTTTTGTTTCCCTATTGTGCTGCCCTGCATGGTTCTAAGCAGGCTGGGCAAGTAAGGATGAAATTCCTGGAGATCCCATGCAGTGTCACACAGCTGCAGTGTGGCAGTGCTTAGCTATTCCACCTACAAACCGCTAATGAAAATTTAATTTGGATGTTTTAGAAACCTAAAAGTTTACCAGTGGATCTTAAGAAAGGATCATTTCAAGGAGGCATTGCCTACTGCTCCCGTTGAAAATGCTCTAACCAGRAGCCATGTGCTGATAACATCAGTGCAGCTGAGGAGACCTTAGGTGCTCACTGATGCTGGAGGCAGCATGCTCAGCTCTGCTCAGTGCATAGGTTTATCTTTCAAGCAAGTACATCTACCTTTTGGCTCAGAAAGCATCAAGTGATACCCATGGATAACGTCTACCAGGGGTGCAATTCAGTGGTCTCACAGAAYTCACAGAATTCACAGAATATTTAAGGTTGGAAGGGACCTCTACAGATCATGTAGTCCAACCTTCCTGCTCAAGCAGGCACACCTAGAGCATGTGGCACAGGGTGGCATCCAGGCGGGTTTTGAAGACCTCCAGAGTAGGAGACTCCACAACCTCCCTGGGCAGCCTGTTCCACTGCTCTGTCACCCTCACAGTAAAGAAGTTSCTCCTCACCTGGAGACGGAACTTCTTGTGTTTCAGCTTGTGGCCATTASCCCTCGTCCTATCGCTGGCCACCAGTGAGAACAGCCTGTCCCCTTCCTCCCTGCATTCTCCCTTCCTGAACTTATACATATTAATCATATCCCCTCTGAGCCTTCTCTTCTCCAGAGAAAASAGGCCCAGCTCACTCAGCCTCTCTTCATACGAGAGATGTTCCATTCCCTTAATCATCCTGGTTGCCCTTCTCTGGACCCTCTCCAGAAGCTCCACGTCCTTCCTATACTGGGGTGCCCAGAACTGCACACAGAAGACTGAAACAGAAATATTTAAGTACACTATTTGGCTTTGCTCTTCCTGCATGTTATTTCATTGCAGCCTATGCTGTCTGTACTTAATACTGATGACAGGTCTTGCCCACGTGAACCTGCCAGTGCCTCTCCTCCCACCCAAGCCTTCCAGCAGTGATGCTTTCCTCTTTATCATCTTCCACTTTGGCTGTGTTTGACTGTGGATTTGTGCATCATATATATCTGACCTCCAAAAACAAAAAAGTCATGTTCCTGACTATGTGGGAGTTGTACCAGTTTTCCATTTTTGCTTTGTTGTTGGGTTTTTTTGTTTTGTTTTGTGTTGTGTTTTGGAGAGGGGTGAGGTGGGTTCTTCCTGGCTCTCACATACAGACAGGCCGAGCAGCCACTCCTGTTTTAGGCATTTGGAAGTGTGACGCTGGAAAAGCCACCGATTTGCCTTTGACATTCCCTGTCACCAGTGGTCATGGCCATGTGTGGCCATGAGGAAGGCTTTGTGACCACCCAACAGGCAGTGTTCATCCCTATAACCAGAAGCTGGAGGTTGATTTATTTTGCTTTATTGATGGAGAATAAGTGTTTATGTGCCAATCAAAATATGTCTGTCTGCTATCTGTACAGTTTTTTGCTCACAGAAGATCTACTATTCTCACCAGGTCTCTCTCTAAAAGATTTTCAGGTAATTTCTCCCCCACCAGACTAGCCCCGTTTGCACTGTGGCTCTATTGAATTATATTTGTCTTATCTTATTTAGATTACAGCCACTTCAGGATGGAGTACAAGTGGCTTTTTTTAATATTATGCGTTCCCATATGTGTTCTCTATAAACTCCAGAGACCATATATAATTATTCTGAAAGGATAATCATTTTMCTTCTTCATTTCTCTCTCCCTTTTCATACATGCTATGGTGGTAAGATGAAGATCTATCACTAACTGTTTTGCTCTCCAGAAGAAATGGAGTTGTAACAGAAGGAATATAGAAAGGAATATAAAAAACCTTATGAGGACAACTACCACATTAATTTTGAAAAATTGAATCAATTTAGAAAGATCTACAATAGCACTGAAATATGATTTAGAATTGATGAGATAAAGGATAAGTATATTTAATTTGAACTGCTGAATCTCACCTGAGAGGTTTTTGTTTTACTGAAGAATGAAATTGAAACCAGTTTTCAACATTTTTTTCATTACTATATATTATATAATCTTTTGAGGCTGTATGTTGTATTGTTTCTGTATCTGTGTGTTTTTTCAGTGTTAGATTATTTTTAATCAAAGTCCTTGCTGTTATGAGACAAAACCAAAAAAGTAAATAGAATATAAAAAGTAACTTCCAAAGTAAGGAATAAGGGGAGCTGGTGTATTTTCTTAAACAGCTAATATTGCCGGGGAGAAAAAAAAAATAATAAAAAAAAAGGTTTCAGACACTCTGTGCTTTCTTAGATCTAAACCAGACAGGCGCAATACATTTCTGTTAAGTACAAGGTTGGGAATCATCACTCAAAGTATAATATCATCAAGATGAACTCAATTGTTCCCAAACTTACTTACTCAGTTTACAATCTCCTGCCTCTATTTCAGATCTGAAGAAATACTTATATGCTGTTTTTGTTTTTGTTTTCTGTGTTTGTATTTGTTTCCAGATACTTTGGTTGAATTAATAACTACACAGATTCCCTTGGACATATTTTACATAGAATCCCCCCACTTCAAGAACACTGCTACTTTGACAACATATGTAAGTTTTCATGTGCAGGGGAGAATGACATATTTTTATCAGAAAGAACTGAAAAATGTGAATTAACTTTGTGCCAGGATCTTTTAATTGGCCTTCCAGATCTGGAGCCTTCAAAGCACATTTCAGAATGTTATCTTCAAACACAAAATCATTATTTTTTTTCAGCTAGAWGAGTTAAGGAAACAAGTTTGCCCGATTTTAGGCCCACTTATCTGCTATTTTCATGCAATACCTTTTAAACACTTTCGGCAATGGGATAGATGTCTCCAAAACATTGAGGTCACAAAAGTTTCAAGAGAATTGGTGCCAGGAAGGAGCTGCCTCTCAGGAAGAGGCTAAAGCAGAAGCCCAGCAGCAGCCCATCAACATGCACCAACCAGGCAGCCAAGTGCAAACACCCAGCACATATTGCCTGTGATGGCCCTTACAGGCCTGGGATAAATCTGAGGGATGTAAAATGGGAAGTGAAACTATTGCCACAGTGAATCTCAGAAAATGATAGGGATTTGAGGAGATCATTGTCAAGGCGAATGGGGCTTCTGTGCAGGAAAGACAAAAATCCACAGCCAATCAGATCCCATTAACTGTACTGCTAATGAAGCAACTCAGTAAGTGTTTAAAGAAATAGAAACATTTCGTTTAACAGCACTGTTACATCTACACCACTCTTTAACTTRAGGAGTCAGTCCCCAGAGGTCAGAAGCCTGTGGCCTTTCCTAAGACCTTGCTTGCTTTCTTGAATGCACAAGGCATTTGGGCTTGGGAATGAATTAGGAAGAGTGAAGAGCATACTGGTAAATACCAGGAGTTAAAATTAGGAGTCATCTATTCCAAATTCATAGTTGTCCTCAAATATTCTTGTTTTCTATCACATATTGTCTCTCAATACACTGATATTTTGGAGTGTTTATATTTCTA